AAAACCTCTTCATAAATCCTGTTCACTCCAGTGTATTTACCAATATAAGTACACAGGCAAGCTTGTCCGTTCACACAGTGATTTTGTGACATTGATGTAGTAAAATGATCGTATCGTTTAGATGAACACACCAAGTGTTGCTTTGTTTTGTGCTTTAGGTGAAAAGATGGCACCGCCATCCATCACTCTACTTCCTGACAAGAAATCTCCAACAAACAGTCACAGCTCTCCAGCCCGGACTGGAAAAAACAGTGAGTAATCCTCTCTGGCTTCTGTCACATAAATCACACTTTTCCTTCCATTAATCTGTTTAATCTGGATTAAATTCACTTACTCTCCAATCATTTGGACTTTTGCACAATTGCTTATAGACTGCAAGCCTGCGAATATTAGGGCAGCGTGCTTGAGGGCCTTGCTGTTATCGGTGAATGGAGGAGCGGCTTGTGAACGCTCAACAACAATAACAAAAAGCGACAGTCAACATATGTGACTGACTCCCACATGGAGGATAGTTTCCTCCCGTCTTGCTTGTTTTGGCACTTCTTGACTGAGCATTTTGCCACACAGAAGCCCCTAATCAAGCTGAATGAATGTTTCCCTCTGCTGATGAGAAAGTAGCAGTGCACTGATGTCACCCCACTTTATGCAAAGCTGAGTGTCCTTTCCCTCCATCTCTCCAACCAGCCCCATCTAACACAGAGAAGAAGCTACACATGAATGGGCACGCTTCCCCTTCCCACCTACCTGCTAATGTCAGCAGCAACCATGGAGGTAAACCAAGTAAGTTTCAACTTTTGTTTTTGTTTTATTTTTCTCTTTTATTGCCACTGCCCTGTTTTTGCTCTCTAATATCTTTCCTCTTTCAGTTCTGGAGGGTTACTTGAGGACAGACGACAGGATGCGTTTAGCCAAGGAGCGGCGAGAGGAGAGGGAGAGAAGCCTGGGTAGGTGATGTCCTGGTTTTTGTTTTGTTTTCTATTGGCCTCTGGCTTTTTGTTCCTTTCCAGTTTCAGTCACTCGTTTTTCCCCCCTTCTTCTGCAGTCTAATTGGTTATAGAAGGGCTAGAGGATGCACTTTGAGTTCACTAGGTTTTTGATACGATGTGCTGTGTCACTTTAGAGAGTTTAAGGTAGAAAAGTCCGCAAAAGTAGGTCTCCTACTCGCAGATAATCCCGCAGCGCCAGCGGTGACCTCATGATGACTGGGTTTTCTCACTTCATGATTTCATCTTAGGCGTGGATAGAGACACAAACTCAACTTAACCAAATTAAATTGAACCAAACCAATTTACTAAAGAGAAGAAAAGTCATGGTATGTGTGATGCATGAACAAGCAAAGAGCAAAAAGACACTCTGTCTCTCTCAGCGGCCCGGGAACAGCTAATCAGGGAGAAGGAGCGCAGAGCTCGGCTGCAGTATGAACGCACAGTGGAGGAACGCTGGAGGCGGCTGGAGGAGCAGAGGCAGAAAGAGGATCTCCGCAGAGCTGCAGTGGAGGAAAAGAGGAGGCAGCAGCTCGAGGAGGAGCGGGTCAGCATTTTGTTGTTGTGTGTTTGTGATCGGTGAGTATGGTGAAGTTGTAATGTTTGTGTAAAAGTCACCTCTGCTGTGCTGCATTCAGGAGCGTCTCGAGGCCCTGATGAAACGCTCTCTGGAGCGCAGCCTCCAGCTGGAGCAGAGGACAAAACGCTGCAGCAGAGGCTACCATCAAGGAGCAGGTAAGAATAGTCTGGGTTTTTTTTTCCTGAGAACAAAGAAGCATGGAAGCATATTGTGGGATGGTCTGAAATAGCAGAATACTGAAAAGACACTGCAGCTACATTTTGCTGTATTTCTGTTAGATAACATAACACAGACAAACACTATGTGTGTGTTAAAGAGGGTTGATCATGGCTGACAGCCTGGCTTCTGAAATGCGTGTGAACAGAGATGTTTTCCTGTTTTTCTGCAAAGACATGGTGGAATTACACAGCACGGGTGTATCGCTAATCAGCATCTTTTTGAAGGACAGTTCCTCTGCTCGGTAGTGACAAATGTCCCCCCATCCTCATTCGTATGCAACTTTGTCTCTTTCCAGGAAAAAATCCAAACCTTGTTTCATGTAGGAACTATTTTCTTTCTACTAAACTACACCTGCCAACCAAAAGAAGCATGCATACAGTATAGCTGATATTAGAGCTCAGCTGAGGGGGCTAATGTTTGCATCCTGTCACACTGACGCAAGTCTGTCGTCATAGGTAGATACACACACCCTTCTATACAGTAGGCAGGTGTGGGTTGATAGACAGAAAATAAATTGCATGCAACAAAGTTTGTGGATTTCTACTGAGTATCAGGAACATGATTTCTGGAAAGACACACCTCACTTTTATGTGTGTGTCTTTTGGCACTACACAAGGGAAGACAATGGATAATATGGGCCAGAATGAAAACATGTCAGTTTGATTTTGGAGAGAACTGTCTGTTCAAACGTCTGCAAATGAATGAAGCAAAGTAGATGATACACTAACTCCATGTTTATACACTCAAAAATATGCAAAAACTACAAATTGAAGCTTTAAATTAAAGAAAAAAAATGTTTCTGTTACATGGCTTCACAGCATCCCTGCTGGTCTCTACAACTGGATGAGGAATTGCTCAGATAAACTGTTCACAAATGCTCTGTTTGCTCTGCTCCGCCCGCTGCCTATAGGTGACTGTGAGAATGCCCCACTCCCTCTCTCTGCTGCCTCCGCCTTTTCCCATGGCATTGCCTCCCCCATTCCTGCTGTCAGCGAATCTGGTAAAGTTTAGCCCCCCTTGCCTCCCAAATCCATTACCCCACCTGTTCATCGAAGAGTTACCGTGTGCTTTGTTTCCGGCAACTTTTTCTTTCTGTAACGCACGCCTGTTAAGTTACTCTTTTGCTCAGTTTTATAGCTTCTTTGCTTTTGTATGTTTTGCAGGCGTCGTTGTGTATGTTTTTGCAGTGGCTTTTACATTTGAGTTATTTGCAAAGACAGCATAGAGGCACAGCACTGTGAACACAGTACTATGCCTTCAGGGATTGAAATCAAGACAAAGATGTTATCAGAAAAAGAGGTTTTGCTGTCATGTTTCTAAACTTTTATCCTAAAATACTTGTCTTAATCTGATGTAACGTAATTTTCACATAAAAGCACGCAGAAGTATTTCAGTTTGCTTTTCTTTGCCAACTCTGCAGCACATCTGCGAGTAGACCACCATGCAGGAGAAAGAGGAAAATAAAAGTGCACAGTGTCAGCTTTTTCACAGACTGAATCTTGTTAGTTTAAACTTGTTTCCTCCATAAATTCATCATCATCAAGCCTTTGTATATGATTTTTTTTTTTGCTGTGTTTCACTGTGGCAGGGACATTCCTGTAATCCAGAAAACAACTTCTGGATTAGTATTTAAATTCTGTAGTTAAACTCTGGATTCTGGGTCTGAAATGCTGGAGGGTGTTTCAGAGTTTGTAGATGGGTCGGGGTGTTTTATTGTGATAACCTGAAATTAGGTTTTCAGAGTAAGAACAGCTAAGTGGTGCTGCCTTTGGGTCCCTGGAGCAGGCGGTTTCAGAGATTAATCGTAAGTGACCTAGAATAAAAATATGTGCACAAAAATAGACACAGATACAGCCACACTGAGATGACTGCACTCCTTAGAGACTGTTCAGCTTGATGACAAGGTGCAAAGATGGCAAAAAAAAATATGACGTGGGTGTTGCAAGGTGGTCAGTGTTTAGGGCCTTTGCTTTTGTAATTTGAGTTTGCACAAAATCTGTCTGTTTTCATTTGCAGTCACAAACCAAATGTTGGGAGTGGGTTTCTGCACTGTTTTTCACAGCCACTGTATTGCCACATGTGTGGTTGCATCATGCTGCACTGTAGTGCACTGTAGTGCATGGGTTAATTGCTAAAATGAAAGTGTTAATACCTGATTATGTCTGACTGATGGCTGAATCACAAAAATGCAGATGCAGTGAAATGTTTTCTACATTAGACTTTGCTTATCCTAAGCTGAACGCTCGATGCCTTCCTTTTAATCAGAGAGAGGAAATGCAGTGTTTTTAAAAAAAAATTGAAGGCCTCCTGTAGCTTATTTTCTGCTGTAAAAGTAAGGGTGTAAGCTTTAGTTGTATGCAGCACGTGCTGTCCAGTACTTTTACTGCTACTGCTGTGTCTTTATCTCTCTATCAGTGAGTATCATTCACCAAGATTTATTTCTGTCATCATGCAGCACCCTGCAGCCCTCACAGATCACCTTTCCACACCTCGGTGAACCGTGTAGATCACAACAGAGCTGGACTTCAGGGAGGCTCTCAGTCCACTCCCAACACCCCAAAGGTTAGACCTTGGACAACATCTTTAAGAACGAGACATTAGTGGATACAGGCTATGATTTAAATGAAGCTAACACTTCTTACAGAAAGAGCGGCTGCGCAGAGAGAGAAGAACTGCATCCCCAGGTTGTGGGTCCCCTGTGAGAAGATCTGAATCTCCTGCCAGTTTCACCAAACATTTGGCTTCCCCTCCCACCCCTTCCAAGTAAGCTAAACTGTTGGTAAAAGGTGGGCAAATGTATCTCTGAGCATGAGCAGTACTTTGTTCAGTTTGTTATAAAACTATATTCTTAAGCTGGACATCTCCTTCTGTGTGCCTAGGATTCGCGCCCAGTCTCCTAGCAATGCACATCAGTACCATTACTCACCGACAAGACAGCGCCCCAACCCGAGTGATAATAGAAAAGCAGAAAATGACAAGGTGGGAAAAAAGGGCGAGCGCACCAAAGCTGACACTGCAGTGAAAAAGAGCGCTGACATCAACAGCTTAATTTCATCTCCACCAGCTCAGAAGAATATGGCCAGTAGTGAAATCGCTAAAACCAAATCCTCCGATAAGTACCTCAAAGGAGACACTATTGAAAAATGTCAGTCGCCTGAAAGAGGAAACCAGCTGACTTCCAAAGGAGATCCCTTAGAGATGATGACACAGAGCAATTTTCTGGATGGAGACAAGAAAAAAGGTGGATTCTATAAGTTCCTTTTTTTTCCCCCTTTACATTCAGTTTTACTACATATGGAAGAGTCTTACTCCATGTTTGTTTATGTGATAGAAGCAGCACCATGCACAGGCAAGGTGGCTGCTGGCACATCAAATGCAGAGGAGGCTAGCAGGTTGCTGGCTGAGCGTAGGCGCCAGGCTCGGGCTCAGAAAGAACTGGAGGAGAAAAAACGGGAGCAGCAAGAAGAAGAAGGAAGGTGAGTTGATTGATCTGGAATGACCTTAAATAAGGTCTGGAATACACGTAAAACATGTTGATGACGAATTCATATGCATGTGGATCAGGTTACCAGAGGAACGGAAGCAACTTGCACAGGAGCAGCAACGGCAGGAGCCAGTGAATCAGCAAGTGAAGGAGAGAGGAAGGCGTGAGGCAGACGCTCATTTGAAACAAGAAGAAGAGAAACGGAAGAAGGAACAGCAGGAGAAGGAGCTACAGGCCCAGATGGACAGAGAGGTCAGTGGTCTTTATAAAGTGCTGGTCTGTTATTATTGCTAATTATTCTGCATTTAGATTTTTGTAGATTTCTTGTCTTTAAAATTTTTGGATTACTGTATAAATCATTGCAGTCTTTGGCTATGTATGGATCTTCTTGCTCTCAACAGAGAGAAAAAGCCAAAGTCCTGGCTCAAGAGGATGTGGAGCGTCAGCGGCAAGACAGAGAACTGCAGACACAGCAAGAGGAAGAGGAGCGGCAACAAAGAAAAAAGGTTACTGTAGACACAGACAAGTCAACTGCTGTATTCAGATTGCATTTCTTCTCTTGAAATATCTGTTTGAATATCTGGAAAGTTCCCAGAGTGATTGAATATTGATATTCTTTTCCAGAGAATTGAGGAGATTATGAAGAGAACTAGGAAGGGTGAAGCTGAGTCGAAGGTACTGTAAGAGACAGCTTCTGTCCTCATACAGTAGACCTGCTGCCTTTAAGCACCCGCTGACTGTTTGATATTTTTTTCTTTTGACTTTAATTTATTACAACTTTCTCATGTTGTTATCTTTATTAAATTCTATCATTGGTGATACTTTGGTTGAGTGTCCTGATTGCCTTAAATGTTTACTTGATCGTCTCTGTTCTGCGCTGAATCAGATGGAGGAACAGGTGGAGACAAAGCGCGTCTCGCCACCAGGTTAGTGTGTTATTCAGTCCCCCCCTGCTGATCCGCTAAGTTTTGCTTGCTGGTCCTGCTTACTGTGCTCTGCTGTAAAGAAGCAATCAGGGCATGCAAGGTTTATGATTTAATTCAAGGGTTCTCAAACTTTTGGGTGCCAGGGCAGCTGCTCCTTACAAGGGAGCACATTTTCTAAGGGTCCCCTCGTAGTCCCAGCACCAATAAGCCACAAGCTTCTAACAGTCCCATTCAGAGTGTCATTGCAACTGTGTGTTTCCACGCCTGTGTCCTGGTATTAAACACCAACGCATTTCAGTTGGTTTAGGTGCAAAACAGTTGTATATTTTCAGCATACCCTTAATGTTACTAGGATCCAAATACAAAATTGTCTTCCTGTCTGACTTCATTTACATCTGACGAGACGTAGTGCATACTGGCCATCCCGTTTCAGCTCTCAAGAAAACCAAACTCAGCATGTCAGCCAACTCAACCAAGCTATGCAGCAGTGAGAAGGGTTTGTTGCACCCTGAATGTCACCCCGATGGCTATGGATATTCCCCCGGACCCCACTTTGAGAACCACTGATTTAGCTTGAATGAATTTGCAGTAGCTAATTTTGAGCATGTGCCACAGCATCTACATTTTTATGATTTGGCTTGTTCTGGTGCTTTGGCTTTGATTATTCAGAAGAATGAGTGTGACCCTCAGCTGATGAAGCCACATTTCTAAGCATTTAAAATCTTTCATGGTGTTTCTGCAACGTTTGGTGGCGTATGAGGAGACACGGACTTCCTTCCTGGTGCTGAAAGGGCACCTTTCAGTGAAGTGCCAAGGGAGCTGACTGTAAAATTAGCCGCTCTTGAAAATGCCCTTGGAAGATTTATTCAGCTCTGTCTCTAGCGGGCTGCTCTGCACAATCTGAGCTTATGCTTTATTTGAGCTGTCCTTTTGTTTTTTTACCTGCTAAGCCGATGCTGTGGGTAATGACATCTGTGATATCTTCTGTTAAAACTTCAATTAAATGTTAGTGTTGAACTGGACAGTCGACACAAAGGAAAGCCCACTGTAAAAGATAAACCTTTTAATTCTTCACAGGTAATATAAAGACTATTCAAAGCAATGCTCAGGTTAAAGAGCCAGCAACCAAAAAGGTTGACTTTCAGGTTAAAGAGCAGGTCATAGTTCAGGTCAAAATAAAGGACAGTGCTCTCGGGAAGACAGACACAGTCACAGCAGCAGCACAGATGGACAATCAGAAGCAAGTAAAAAACAACACTCATCTCGTGACGCACAGTGTTCCTGACAAGAAATCTGAGACAAGACAAACCAGGGAAGAGATTAGCAGCCACCTTAAAGTAGCCAAAGCCTGTGTACTCCAGCAAGAGGGGGGAGAGATGGAAATGAATGTAAACCAGCAGCACAGAGCAAGTGTTAATGTCACAGACCAAATCATGAAAGACCCCACAAAGCTGAGGGGAGAGGGCGTTATGATGAATAGTGGAGGAAAGGGTGGAGGAAGTGCCTTGAAGAGGAGTGCTCCAACAGCTGAAGCAAGCAAAGAGCAGAGCGTGGATGTGCCATCAGCTGACAAAGCTGGGGGAAAGGATAAAGGAGGGTCCCAGCTTGGGGTTGGTAGACCTCCCGTGAAACCCCTTCCAATGGGAAACCTGTCACCACCAGTCATCAAGCTGGAGCCACTCGATGTGAAGCACACAGGGTCTTGCAATGAGGTGCAGTCGATGGAGGTCAGGTGAGTCATTAGGTAACACTTTATTACTAAAATGTGAGCGTTGGGGGGCTGTGTGAATATGTAATATATATGATTTCTCACATTGTCATATTTCAGCCCGGCCTCAAAGGAAGAGCTCATTTCGATCCCAGAGTTCTCACCTGTCAATGAAATCCAGAGCAGCGGCATGAGTAACACCCGGGCCCTCGAAGAGCTGATGGACCTGACAGGGAGCATCACCTATGCTAAACTGTCCTCTGAAAGCAGCATCGGTGACTGCAACAAGAACCTCATTGAGGGTGTCGTCAGTCCCGTCTCAGACTCAAAGCTCATTGGGATGGCACCTCCGTCCTCGAATAAACTAAGCATCAAGTAGCTGATTAATTCCTTTCTCTTCCTCTCTTGCTTGCCTTGTCTCTGTCCTCTCCATCTCTGTCTCTCACACACAAGCACACATACGCTCACAAGGATGTCACATTTTGGATATGTGCTCTTGTGTCATTAAAATAATGGGAATAGAGCCATAGAGATTGACCTAAAAATGTTCAATATGACCTTCAATATAAACAAAACATCTCCTATTTAGTAATAACATAGCAAATGACTGTATTACAGCTGTTGTGAATCTGCAGTTCTTGTTCTGAGGACAAGTATCCACATGTGACAGACAGTCAGTAGATGTGTGACCCGATGGAGGAAAAAAATATCAGGGATTTGAATACTAGAAAAATTTCAAAAACATACTATTACTTAAATACATTAGCTAGAGAAGAGCTTGCCCTGCACAGATTCCTTACTGGCTCCCAGTTCATTTTCATGTTGTATTAAAGCCTGCTCAGAGCACTGATGACTGTAGCCTTTCCAAACACCCTCCTAAGCCTTTAAACGATATTCAAAGTGTTGCTGGGAAGGCAAGACTATTTAATGTTCATGACAGGTTTATTTTTAATGCTAGCAATGTTACTGGTGTGTGTATTGATATTGGATTTATGTAACAAACTAAAATCCAGGCAACTCCAACTATGTATTATTTACTTTCTGTCCCAGCAAACTATAATCTTGATATTTTCCCTTTATTCCCTTTTCAAATCTTTCTAACTGCATGCAAATGAGGAGGGAAATGACCTTAAAAAATTCCAAGTAAACTTGAATGTTGCAGCAAACTAAAAACAAGTCATGTCACCAATGCAAAGAAAGTACCAGTATGTTGCAGAGCAGAACCAGTCTTCTACAAATATACAGAAGTCAAGAAAGCAAGGCAGCCTTAAACTTCTTGTTATTTAAAAAGATATCGGTAGGAGTGCCTTGCTGTGTTGGACCCAGTGCTAACTTATCTGTGAAACAGAAATTTCCCTCTATGTCTGGATACTGAACTGGTCTGAAGGACTGAAGGGCGCAGGGACAGGAATGTTTGCTGAGCGACTTGCAAATGATCTGGCCTGTAGCTTCAAAGATACTGTTTACTGCTGACCCCCCCCTTACATCTGAGATCATGAACACTTCTTCAACAATTCAGTGACATTCACTTTCTGTATTGCGTTAAAATGTATTTTCAGTAGAGATGCCTTATCTGGGACCGAGCAGCTGCTTTACTTCAGTGCTTATTTTGTGTTTATCTTAACTTGATCACTGGGATAGTTGTGTGTCTGTGACCTGTAATACTTGAAACTCGGTTTGAAATGCATCATGTCTGCCATGGTGTAGACAGTAATGTCGACATTCAGTGCAGTTAAGAAGTGACATTTAGTTTTTGTTGTCAAACAACCCAAATCAATGGCCATATAACAGTCTTATGCAAAGTAGCCACATTGAAATATAAATCATATATCTGAGTTATGGTTTGATATACACTATATATATTTTGCATATTCAAACAGCTGGAGGACTGGAAAATGGTTATGAATTAATAATACACAATGCCACATCAAAGAAGTATTCACGCTTGCTCATTGCCATACATGAAACCAGTGTCAGTCACCTAGCGTATGTAATTACTGTAGACATTGTGCATGATTAGCATGGATATCTGAAACAATAAAGCGCAAAACTGAGAATTTCGACTTTTTTGGCTCTGTGGTCATGTGTGCCTATTATATGAAGCACGGGTGGTGAGGATCATAAGCACTCAGCAGTCTGCAAAACCCTGAAATGAACAATGACTGTGATTATTTACTTGCACCATGTTGATAACGGGTTTTTTTTGTTTTTGTTTTTTGCCTGTTTCGCGTTATTTATTTACTGACTTCTTGCGGTGGGTAGGATATCCTTCAGTTTATGCTATATTATTTAAACTAAAATGATTGCTACGATAGAGTCATGACACAGAAGGTGGCGCTAATGCGCCTTTACGCTTTTCGCTAACTGCCGAGTAAAATACAAGAAGACGCAGTAGAAGAAGAAGAAGGCCGTGAGACGACGAGTGCTGTGTCGTGCTCAACGTTCGTCTTTCACTCTTCCGTTGCGTTTAGGTAAGTACCTCTCGAAATGGCCGAATTGCACGCATTGGTGAACCTTTTGTTTTATTTTGTGCAACGTGTTGTTACTCCTATGAAAGGATTCGGGTGAATGTCATTTTGGAAGGTTAGCGTAGGGACGTTACCAACTAACGAAATATCCCAAGTAGCTAGCTATGCTCAGCTAACTTTGCAATTAGATGCGCTTTTAGTTTATTCTTTTTTTTTCAAAAAACAAACAAAAAAACCAAATGTTGACCTAGTCAAAACATTGAGGCGATGTACTCGGGCCTGGCGTGGGGTGGTTTTCACTCGTGCTTGTCTGGTGTTATTTTCACCAACAGCTGAAGCGAGCTGATGCCAAAAATGGAAGCACGGTCAGCTTTAGACGAAACTAAAACGGCGCCCACCATGGTAAACCCACCCACCCAGCCTATCTACGCGTACTGTTTTTAAGTTAGAATTTACGATGATACAATCAAGCCTGTATCAATGGAGGTCACCTGGTTTTTGTCTTTTCGTAGCAAACTGTTTAGCCGTCGAGTTTAATTAGGGTCGCCACAATGAGCCAAGAGGCTCTGGTAAAAGGAGGTGTGGGAAATGTGGTCCTTTCATAGCGGTGTTATCGCAATTTCTTGCTCATTCTCACGACTGGGATGCTCTAAACATGAGGAATTGAGGCGAATATAAACATGTTCGTTAGAAACGACAAGCAGTCGGCGCTAAAAGAAAACCCTCTCCGTTTCCTGTCTCGCTCTTTTTTTTTATTTTGCAGGGTTTTTTTTTTATATCTTCGTAACATCCTATTTAGTGTTTGTTCCTTTAGAAAGTGTGACTCTAAATTTTTGTGAAAACCTCTTTAGAAGCAAGTATGGACACTGCGCAGCCATCTTGGGTAGTTGTTTTGAAGGAATATGTAAATTGCAATTGATTTCAATGAAAACTGGACTTCAAGCCTAAAAAGGCAACTTGTCCCATTATAATTAAACTACATTTTTAACTGGAAGTAAATAGAACTATATATCTGTCAATCTTAGATGTTGCACATGTCTGCTTGTCTTTTGTATTGGTGGTGGTGGTGGGGGGGGGTAGTAAAGTTACCTATTAAATCACATCAAGTGCATAACCAAGATGTGGATGGCCGAGAAGTCAGGATAGGCCTCTTTGAGAGTCTAGCATTACATCTCATTAGGATCAATGATTTCAATTTCTTTTTGTCCATAGATTATTCACTGTCTGCTAAAGATGGTCCGAACGCATTTTGGACCACCACGCTTAAAGCCCAGGTAATGACTTTCAGTTGTATCTAGTTGCATTAGCATCACCTGGTGTTATGTTCATCATAAAGTTTATAAGTTAACTCATTCACTGCCATTGACGTCTATAGCCGTCAATGGCAGTGAATGAGTTAATGACTTAACGTGAACTCTGGACTTCATTTTTAAAAATGATTTAAAGTGTTTGGTGGAACTTACCAGTTTTTCTTTCTTGTGTCCTGTTAGACCTTATGGAGATAGTCATGCTACTGGACACAATGAAGGCAATTACAACCCCAGTTCTAGAAGTCGAAGAGATGCCCAGGGCTACCCAGCAAAGCCTCCACTTAACTGGAGGGAATCCAGAGGTAGAGGACGACCCCCACCTGTCAGAAGAGTTCCTCTGATGGGAGAGCAAAGGGAGCCACGTTTTAATAACTGGAGGTCCCAAAATCAGGATTCCTTTCAACCGTACCATCCTAAAATGGAACCACACCATAGCCAGAGACGGCTGCCTCCATCTAGGCCAACCCGCTCCCCTCAAGTCCAGCATCAGTCATCATCTCATGGTCCTGCGCAAGGACATCATAGTCAGAGAGGTCCATCTTTTCATGGTCACCCCTCTGGTCACAGATCATCTTCCCCAAGGCATTTTCGTGGCCACCCAGCTGATAGGAGGCCAGGCTCTGCACCAGGCTACCAGGGATCTTTCAAAGGCCCCAAAAGGCAGTCAGGCTTTCCTCATCAGGAGCAGCGGAGTCGAGACCCTCGAGGGAATTACAGTCCAAGAGAAAGGCCCACTCAGGAACATTCGGGTCACAACGTGAAGCGCTGGCACGAGGCTGGATCATTCTCACATAATGGGCAACATGGGCCCTCGGGGTCACAGAGGAACCCCAGAGAGATGCATGCGAGAGGCTCGTGTACAGAGAGGTACAGCCGTGAAGCAGCAAGCCCAGCTGGGTAAAATTATTAAAGCAGAGGCCTGAAGGTGGCCTGTCCTCCCAGTCAAAGGGGCTGTAATGATTACTTCTACTATGTCCCAGCTCATAGTTATTAGAGGGGGTTAATGGGGGGACCTGTGTAAATGTGGTTATACCTGCCATTGAGGAGTATCACACCTGTAAATACTCTTTGAAAACGTACTCCTACCTGTTTACTTCTGTCATTTAAGAGTTAAGTTCCGTCTCCAACTTAAAATGGCAATGGATCTGTCATTATAATGATTTCTCTATTGTTTGATGGATATGCAGGTGGTCATCTGAGCAAGACTCCAGGCGCCAGCGTGGTCCCATGGAGAGGCAGGGTAGCCGATCCCACAGTAGAGAGAGGGCACAAGATGTGCCTCACCCACCTCCTTACAGATCCCCTTCATGGAAAGGGGGCCCATCACCTTCATCCTCCTACCACAGGGGCCCTCAGGAGAGGCAAATGGCAGGACCCCGCAAGAGGAGGATATCAGACATCAGCATGTCCTCCTCGGACGCAGCACTGGAGCATGGCAATGCAAAACAGATCCGGAGAGTGAGACCCCAACTGCTCAGCATTCCCAGGCCATTTGGTGGCAAACCCTTGTCTCTTAGGGATAGAAGTTTCCTGGTTAAGAGCCGACAAGTCAAAGCAGAGTCACTCATGAGGCTCAGAATACCCCCATATGTGCGACCGAGGTTT